ATTTATTCTTCAATGGCTGAACAAAGTCGATGTGTGGATTCGACAATCGGAGGCAGAGTGGTGTTAATAATAGTCTAATATCATCTCTGACCGTTCTGTGACGTAACAAGAAAGACACTTCCTCATCTCACTGTAACTAATGAAGCTCGCAGACGTCATATATTATGCACGCTGGGGCAAGCGGTGAATGGGGATGCTCTCACGTCTGAACACCCGAGATAGTGAGATAGAGGGTGTGAATGACCCGAGGAGAAGAAAAAGGGAGAAACAATGAGAGAGAAAAAGGAGGAGAGAGAGAGCAGAGAGAGAGGCAGAGAAAGAGAAAGAGAGAGAGAGAGACAGAGAGAGAGAGAGAGAGAGAGAGAGAGAGAGGTGGGGGGAGAGGAGGGAGAGAGAGAGTGAGAGAAAAAGAGAAGAGAGAGAAGATAGACAGAAGAAGAGAGAAAGTAGATAAAGATAAAGATAATATTAAAAGAGAGAGAGAGAGAAAAGGGAGAGAGAGAGAGAGAGACAGAAAGAGAGAGAGAAAGAGAGAGAGAGATAGATAGATAGATAGATAGATAGATAGAGAGAGAGAGAGAGAGAGAGAGAAGAGAGAGAGAGAGAGAGAGAGAGAGAGAGAGAGAGAGAGAGAGAGAGAGAAGATAGACAGAGAGAAAGTAGATAAAGATAAAGATAATATTAAAAAAGAGAGAGAGAGAAAAGGGAGAGAGAGAGAGAGAGAGAGAGAGAGAGAGAGAGAGAGAGAGAGAGAGAGAGAGAGAGAGAGAGAGAGAGAGAGAGAGAGAGAGAGAGAGAGAGATTGAAGGGAGAGAAAGCGGAAGAAAAAGTATTGGGAAAATATTAAAAGTGCAAAAAAGAAGAAGAAGAATATATACCGACAGGTGGTCAATATGTATACACACGCAAACACACGCACACATTCAACCACACACACACACACGCGCGCGCACTCATATACACAGACACACACATATAATAACACATCATAATGCATACATCGTTATACAGTCGAGGGGTGACACAGAGGGAGGCTGGGCGAGAATAAAGGAATTGTAGAGAGAGGTAGAACAGCCGAATGTATACAATGCATCTGCGATAAGACCGTTTGTCGACCAACAGTCTGGTGAGCACGACCAACATTCTTTTGTTATGACCAACTCCTTCTTTTACTGTTCCTTCCTATCCTCTTCTTTACCTCATTTCTCACAGCACCCTCCCGCCGCCCGCCCACACCCTCTTACTTGTCAATCTTCTGTTAATCTAATTCAAGCCTCTCTGATTTTGCCCACAATCGACCTATCGATTATAGAGTCGTCTTGGGGACACTCCTGAAATGTGTCAAGCTGAAACGATTTTTTCAGGGGTTCCCTCGTTCCTCCTTGTTAACCCTTGCGAACCCGCCCTCCTTGTATTGTATCAGATAGGCAACGTGCTTTCTCTAGAGCAACCCGACTAAAGGAAGAAAAGATATACCCATTCCCTCACCCCAGAAACATTCCCAAAACTTTCAGAGTTGAAATTTCGGATTATGAAAAGACGAAATGAAACTCTCTATCCTCCTCGGAATAAAACAGGTTAGAAAAGAACAACATCACACTAGCAACAAGAATTTAAAAAGCTGCAACCACATAAATAACAGTAATAATTATTAATACAGCAGCATCAATTGTACCAAAATAAGTAGCAACAGCAAACGATAAATTAGAAAAGGAATCTTTAAAAAGCAATAACAGCAAGAATGACAACAACAGGAAAACTCCCACTCGGCAGAGCAGCCTACTCACTTCTGTTAACTCTCATCTCTTTGTAAGACTACCTTACAGCGGAGAGATGATTATCTATATTGGGGTAACAAGATATTCTCCAAAATGCAAGCAAGGACCTTGGGGGTATTTACGCATTTGCTTTGAGGGAGATCGTTAAAAACTTCTCCCCTTGAAGTTTCAAATGAGCTAGAGTGAGCATAATAAAGAAAGGAGATGAAAGAAAAATGACATGGCGGTTCATAGTTTTCAGTTACTGTTAGCTTATACGCCTCATATTGCCGGAGATAGTTTTACCGAAGCCTGCTTTCTGTAAATAGTGTTGCTATAATAAGGTGAATTAGTGGTTCTTTGATTCTTTTTATGTTTTGGGACTAGACATTTAGTAGGCAGCTTGCACCACGAGCTCAGAAACTAGACCTTGCAAAAGTGTTTTTGTATATTTTCAAGCGTGAGATCCGAAAGCAGGCAAAAGGAAAAGTGAGTATCAAAAGCCGTAGATGCAATTAATCTGGAGGGTGTGGTCTTTCAAAACGATTAGTGATCCTCATAGTGAGGTGGTTGTTAATTATTTGAAACTTAGTACCCATAACTCTCAGGGCTGGGCGCGAATACAGTGACGAAAGAGTCAGGAAAAACCTTAGGATGTTGCGAGATGGAATATTGGGCAGAAAAGGCGAAAGGGGGAGGGGACAGTTTTCGAAATAGTGAGGCTTGAGAGGATATTATGAAGTAAATAAAACAAATAAATACAAAACGATTGACACTTGCACCTCTGGGACCACCCCCTCCCCTTCCTCTTTCAGCCCCAATGTCACCCAAATCTCTCGCAGTAAAAATTTAGCTCACTCAGCAAAAGGCAAATAAAGCTCAATTCGATGGGAAAAATAATATTTCACGATTTAATCAAATACTGAAAACTGGAAACAAATTGTGTTGTGTGGTACAAAATGTATCATTACGCTAGGATTGTCACGTAATCGTATTATTATGAAACTATTTAGGTTAAAGCGTCGGGATTCAATAACAAGAGCATTTCAAGTATTGTCTAGCATTGGAAAAACAATTACACTTTCTGGGTGTATTTGTGTCCGTACGCTGATTATCATCTGACATCTGACACCAATCAAATTTATCCCATCACAACAGTTTATATTTCGTAATTATAAAAGCGCTAAACGTACCCCTGGCTTGTTGAGTATTACTGCAACGTCTCGATTGGCCTCACTTGTTGTATTTTCGAGGTTTCGGGTATCTCTGTTGTCGTCAAGATTCACAAAGACGCTCAGACCATTGGAAATATTTCTTGCCTCGTGACCTTACAGAACTTAGTCGAGATTAAGTAGCATCACAGACGCTTGATTTCAGCGCACCTAGGCAACATCGGAGTCTCGATTGTCCAACCTTCCATCATTGATTACAGTAGGTGCACAGCGTTCGATTTGTCGTAGACTGTAACTAAACGTTACCCCATATAATTATACAGCTGATAGGAATTATAGCGTATAGAGTCAAAAGCTTTTTGTAAATCATGAACGATCAACTAGAAGCAGGCATTTCCATTTAACGACGAGGCAAAATGGAAATATATTTCCGTCAAATATATAATGATTTAGAAAGACGTCAGTTACAAGTCGAAAAAGTTGGTTTTGACCTTGTGGTATTGTCCCCTGAAGCATAAAACCAGACAGGTCGCCATTAGCAGACAATTTAAACAAATAGTTTAGAAATTGTACTCCCAATTATCATTAATATAATGTGGTATATTATGTGTTCAGTTAATACCCTTGGGATTCTGCGCATCCCAGAAGGAGTCACAATAGGGAGGCTTGATGAACATAGAGACCAAAAACTATTATCCACAATAATAATGTTGTCTTCAGTGACAAAGGCTTGCTTTTGTATAGATCTTTTGAGAATGGGAACGACCCCTATTGTTATTTTGTACGTTGTCCTTTCTAAAAACTAAGCAGACAACATAACTGCTTTAAGGGGTTATGAATAATAGTTGACCCATGGAAGAGGTGAATTGGACCGATAAATCAGAGTTTTTTTTGGCAAATTGTCTGGCCGCATGAAAGTGTGCTATTGATCTGTGTTAGTTTTAGCTACAACGATGGGTCATACGAGGTGTCCTGCTCTAGAGCTTAAGGCGTTGAAATTGAAGAGCCGAGAATCAGACGAAATGCCTTAGTAAGAGGACAAAAGCACTGGCACAAAGCTGTAATGTTATGACAAAATCTATCCAAAAGCGTTATCCCAAACCCTTTCGTACCGAAGTGAAAATGTAATATTTGTGAGTTATAGCTCGAGCTGAAAAGCCTGACTACATCGCCACAAATAAGGTCTTTTCATTCGGAGTAAGCACAAGGCAGGCAGAAACAAAAGAGGAGTAGAAGTAAGTTGAATGGGTGGGAGGGGACCTGTTTTTTATAAATGTTTTACGGCGCTCTCTACTGCATGAGGTCATATGGGCCCGCGGGACACACCAAACAATATCAGTTGGTAGGACATTTTGAATTTTGCCTGGGTAGCGGCCCAAGCCTACTCTTATCGATTTTGGAAAACCAAGGGATCTTTATGATGCGCAACTTGCACTATGGACCTCCGAGATTTTTGGCCTTTGTCCGAGAAGGCTAGGTGTAGGTCTGTCCTACCAGAAGATCAGAGATGTGGCTGAAAGACAGCAGTAAAAAGAAGCCAGGGAGTAGCAGTAGAAAGGCTGCAGAAAGAGCCAGGAGCCCAGAGGAGGCCCAGGGGGAGAAGGGGGTGGGGGGGGGGGGGCGGAAAGTGGACACGAAAGCAGACGACAGAACATTGCTAGAGAGCAGGAAAGGAGGTGAAAGGAGACAATCTTAGAGAAGAAAAAAATTTAGTCGCTATCCGGGTTCGAACCTTGAATGAGAGGCGAACATCTTTACCTCAAGGCCACGAGAGATGCGTGGAACTTGCTCGAAAGTCTAGAAACCCTAACACATATTCATAGTAACGCCGAAGTAGAATAGTCTTCCAGAGCCCAGCACTCGAATGGTGGACAACAGATCCGATGACCATGGTATAAATTCCAAATGCATCACTCGTAAATGTAGTTTGGACATTTTTCAAAGTTCTCCACCCACTAGGTGTTGACCTGCCTTTCAAACATTTTCACTATGTTTCTTCTGACGTAATATACCTGACATATGATACATCTTACTAATATTGAATGGTATTCCTTTATGTCTCTTCCGGCAGGGATCTTTGACCACAACGTCACAAACCGGTCTGTCCTGGCCTTCAGACATTTCCTCAGCGTCATCCACACGCCGCCCCTGGACCCTAAGTACAAGTACTTCAAGGAGATAGTAGATCAGTACCTAGAGATGCCGCCATTCAATCTGAGGAATGTCTATAAGAACGCTAACGGTTCTAGAGATGTGAGAAGCTATCTGCTTTCCAGAGATTGAACATTGTTATATTGTTGAATTTATTCAGAGATTTATTTATTTTATTGATCAACGAAACTACTTTCATCACTGTTTGTTCATGTATTATTAACTCATTCACTTGTCTAATCTATCATTCTTGACAGGTAGGAGTACCGTCTTTTATATAATTTATGTTTTGAATATAAACCAACCCTCTATATCAAAGAATGTTTGCTTGAAAAAAAAAACCCTCAACAGATATAGCTCACCGTCATATAGGAATGAGCTTAGCCAAGAAGGTTTACGGTAGTCCGGGTGTGTTTTCTTTACTGAGAAATGTCAACCTAGAAGAGTTACGTATATTTCTTTGCAATATTTTCATTATCACAATATTATCTGTGTACCTATCACACTAATTTCAGATGCATTAGGAGTCTCTCCGACGAGGTTAAATAATAAAAGATAAATTTGTAAGTGTATTGTCCAAAATGGCAGCAACAGCAGCCTTGATTAAGTTGATTATTGCAAAGTGTTCGTTCGTCTAATTCTAAGAATACCCCCGTTGCCCAGATCCGCCCAGAAGCGGCGTATCTTTACGACGCCGTCCTGATGTACGCCCGGGTGGTGCACGAGATCATCCAGGAGGGAGGCAACTCTCGTGATGGAAGGGGTGTGATTGGTCGAATACAGGGGCGCTCCTACAAGAGTAAGTTCAGATCATTACAAAGAATACCATCTTTTAAACCACTATTGATCACGTTTCGTTGTTTACTTTAGCCTTGGCTGACAGGGCCCACCCATTGCCAGTGGAATACTTTATCTCAGCAGAAAGACGAAGATGCTCAACAGCAAGTACAGTAGTTCATGAAAATTTCGAAGCATCTGTTTGAAACATGGGTACCTGTATGCTATACCTATCCACCATTTCACACATTTCAATGACATTGCTCTGTGGCGATAAGCAAAATGTGTTTATGTATTTACATTGAGTTTACTAATAGTTAATGCCAACATATTACATTGCAAGCTGCTTTTTGTTGTTGTTGTTGTTGTTGTTGAAGTTGTTGTTGATGTTGTTGTTGTTGTTGTTGTTGTTGGTGTTGTTGTTGTTGTTGTTGTTGTTGTTGTTGTTGTTGTTGTTCTTCTTCTTCTTCTTCTTCTTCTTCTTCTTCTTCTTCTTCTTCTTCTTCTTTCTTTCTTTTTCTGCTGTTTGGGATTTTTAATGCTCAATTGCGCACGGTACCCCCGAGATTTTGTGCCCATTTCCGAGAGGGCAAGGTGTCTGATCTGACCTAACCTAAGATCAGGGGTGTGGCTGAAAGACAATAGTACAGAGAATCCAGGAGTTGCAGTAGACAAAGTCAGATGTAAAGGGGAGAGGAGAAGGGAAGGTAGGGCGGGGTGTGGGGAGAAACTTGTGATAAAAAGCAGATGACAGATTAGCATTAGAGAGCAGGAAAAGAAGACAAAGTGGAACATTTTAGAGAAGCTCTAGGTGGTCCTTTCTATTCTTTCTCAAATCTATCCCCCACCCTCCTTTTTCCACCCATATTATGTATTTCCAAGCAACTTTAAAAGGGCGGGGGGAGGGGGGTGGGGGCTACACTTCGAAAGCCCCGATTCGGCTCAAAACTATGCTTGTTAAGTTGTAGGCATTTTTAGCTTTTTGAGTCTCTCTTACAACTATTTCATCGCCTAAGAACACCCTAAAGACTTATTTCTCCCCTTACTGGGCACGTTTGTCACCCCTATTTCCTCGATAAGTCAATCTTTTATTTTTCTTTATCGCCCGTTTTCTCGAAACGTTGTTTTTTTATATACTTTATTTAACCAACTCCACCATTTTACTTCCAATCTTCATGGATTTTCACAGAATGAAGACAAAATATGATACTAAAGATTAGTGTGATGGATTTTTTATATATGGAATAGTTCTTTGTTGGTGGTGTTTGGAGTGTGGATTTTCACGTTTTTTTTTTTTTTAAACGTGAATACTACCTCAGGAAACAATTCATAATTTTTTTCTAGAACGCTTAGAAAAAAATCATCTCACAGATTTATTGTTTGCTAAGGTGCAAGCAAAAAACAAATCATTTCCACGAACAATAAGTGCGGTATTACTTACATAAGACAAGTCAACAAAATCCAATACGGCAGCCGTATCCATGGAAACGAAACTTTTTCTCAAATTTGATGGCGGATTTGAAGACTCCTTACTGTGCTTGTTATATGTGGGAAATTTGGTACCATTTGATCCCCCTAATAAGCGAGATAGAATTCAGCTGTAGCCCCCCCCCCCCCAACCCCCACCCGTGACCTCATCCTTTTCCTGCTCAACCGTTTTTACAGGCGCGTACGGCTACTGGTGTAAGATCAACGAACAAGGGGATGCACTCGGTAACTTCTCTGTGATTGTGAGGAAGCACATCGAGGGGGACGAGTGGGGCATGTACCCTGTGGGAACCTTCAGACTGCCTCCTAAAGGAGAGCTGCTCCCGGTATGATAGTTTGTCATTGTTCCTTTGTCTTTTGTTACACTTTGTGAACAATTCCTGAAATTCTGCTAAAGTTTTCTGCTTTCATAAAATACTTCCGATTTTCTTTATTTGACTAAAGTGTAATCTATACTTTCGACAATATTAATGGTATCAAACTGTATTCTAATGTTAAGGTGTATGATGTATTATGAAATACGTAATCAAATCTCTCAAATCCATGTTTTTAGAAAAAGGGAAACATATTAACGATATGGGTGCATTATAATTGCGAACCTAAAAACTTCAATAGTCACCCAACATTATACTTGCACCCCTATATATATTTATACCACAAATTCACATTTATTTTACATTAGCTTTTGGACGAGCTGTTTTCTTAATTTACCCATGAGAGGAAAGTAATGTAAGTTTTGCTTTTCGTAGGAATTTTATTTCCACAAAGGAGAGAGCATTCGGTGGATCAACGGAGCCCCTCCGCCGGATGAACCAGAGTGCGGGTTCCGGCACGAGAAGTGCATCCCCAAGAAAAGTGAGTATACGATGCCATGAGCGTGCCGGTTGTTTGTCACTGAATAGACCAAAGATCGTACATAACAAGAAAGTTCACTCCCTTCATTGAACCAATTAAAAAAGTGTCTTCAAAATCCGGTGGCGCCCTCTTTGGAAAAGAGTGGACTTTGCGAACAGAGTGTGAAAAACTATAAAACGAAACTAACAAACTGTGCTATTCCTATTCTTCTGGAGAAACGAAAGAGAGCTTAAAAACAAAGACTACTGCACCATCTGAACCAATGCGCAGACTTCCGCGGAAACGTTTTGGGCTGAGTGAACTGTCTTGTTATGTGCGATATGTGATAAGACGCGTTAAGCAGGCCACTTTTTATTGTTGAATTCTTCATCACCTTACAGCTACATTGAATATCACAGTTGGATCTAAAACTTCACGGTTCTCATAATACAAATTATGAGATGCACTATTGGCTTGACAATCTTTATACAGAGATACAAATCTCTTGTCAACACTTTAAAAGGTCTACTGGCAAGTAAACGTTATTAAAACATTTTAGTTTAACTGGGCATCTACGGGCAGTCAGAAGTATTCCCACTTAGTCTGCCAAAATTTTTGCACCAGAGGTATTCCAATCAAGACAAGTTTCTACCCTACTTTTGTTGCAATGTTTTAAATCAAATATCTACAATTATAAGCTTCCCCCTCTGAATCGTTTAGTTGGTCATGGCTATTTCAAAATGATTTATTTGTTTTACGTTTGTGAGATATTTCGATGAAGGTCTCCTTCAGGTATAGAGCTCTTGCGATATAACGTCAGTCTTTCAGATGGCAGTGGGTATACCCTTAAGAAACTGAAACGTTATCATAGAGCAAAATGATTAGGTAAAGATCACAAGTTTTTATGATATGAAAGCACTGGTGAGATATGATGAAGAAATTAAGCAATTAGTTTCTTTGTACCCAAATAAGCACGAAAATTTAGCGGATGGGATGATTTATGGTCGCAAAAATATTCCACAAGCTTGGTGAAACTTAAGTTCATATCATGACCAAGGTTTTAGGCGAGTTTCTTAAATGTTCCCGCCTAAATATCGAGTCTTCGGCTCCATCCACAGCGTACACTTCAGAAATTGCTGGCGGAGTGGCAGGCGGCGTGATCTTTCTGGTAATCATCATTGCCTACATCTTTTATAAGTGAGTATGTTTTACTTTTCTTTCGAATAGCTACCTCTTTTTGCCTCCGTCGTTATCCTGGGCACAGCTATTATGGCATCCTTCCCGTTCAAAGTACATGAACCAAAAAAAGGAGAAAAAAAGTACAATTTCCCCAGTAATTATCAATCCCCCAAAAATAGTCGCCGCTAGCTGTTCTTTAAAAAACACTAGATCCAGTCGTCTTATTTTCTAAGTTTGTTTGGAATATTTTTGCCTTGTATCTCATACTTGTTAAGGATTATTGTCTCTGCTATTATATCCTATTTAATTCTTCTTTGCAAAAAGTGTGATATTCAGAAACTGCAGAAGCTTTTCGAAAACAGCATTGCTAACCCAGCAAACGAAGTTTGATCTCTTGAGCTGTCATTATCTTTGTCCTTTTTATTATAGGCAGCCACTTCCCCATTCAAATTTTGGCTATTTTCTCCAAGACCTTGTAACGTCTTTTTGAAAAAAATTTCGGTTACCTTACACCTTTATGTTAGATAGAACAATTTTCTTGAACAAAGAAGCAAAGTACCAGAACGATGCACTAATGATAAGAAAAAACACATACTGTGAGTTTTTACCTACGTTTTGTAGATTTAAATCTCTTGTGAACACCATAAGGTTATTCGAGAGGTAGCCTCTCTATTACAATAAACATCTCTGACTTGACCCAAACGAACTATACAAAGTGAGCTGCAAACTCCCTAAACAAGTATGGCCGAGACAATGTGTCCCGAAATTAAGTAATTTCCTTGGTGCAATGCATTAATTCACGAGTACACCGTTATCTGGGCGCATGTTTCTCATGTTTGCTCTCTCGTGATACTCATTACTCATATCTCTGATTAAGTTTTTGAGGTCGTACTCTCTTGAGAGTGTCGTAAGTCAGTATGTTTAATATCATACTCGCATTACGTAACTGGTTATTGTAGGTTTAACTTATGGACTGCTCAGTTTCCCAAAATATAAGAAGGCACTGATTTAATGCTATGATATTCAAATAAAGGTGACAGTATTAGTACTAGTTCAAACCTTTTTTGAGCATCGATAGAGCTATCCGAATCTAATATACGGCCAATCATTAACACACTTGGATTTGCATAAGACCCATCTTTTTCTCTCTTTTCCTCTCTTTCTCACTCTCTCTCTCTCTCCCTCTCTCTCTCTCTCTCTCTTTCTCTCTCTTTCTCTCTCTCTCTCTCTCTCTCTCTCTCTCATAAAAACGAATAAAAATTAGACAAAGAAACCAAGCTAACAATAGAACAGCAAATGGGCAGGAACGACAAGACGTCAGATTTAACACGGCGATCTCGTTGATCATCTTCGGCAAGACATAATATGTCTCAGTATAAGATAAGAAAAACAATTGTAGCCGGTATCGCCATGATGCCACGACGTGCTAATCTGAGATTCTACGCTTAATCATAAACAATGACAGGACGTCTGAATGACTTTTAGCTGACCAAGTTTTACGTTTATATCAATGTAAGCATGATGGATTATTTAGAATTGATATGATAAATGTGCCGTCTTCTTTCCTTTTATCTGACTATTCGTTTTACATGTAATAAGAGTTTTATAACACTTTCAACAAGTAGATCAATAAATAGGTTTCAAAGATGTGATACATGAGGTATTAATACTAGAGATTAAGATACAAAGAAAAGTATATGGAGATGTAAAGATGATAGAATCAGATGTTTGAGAAGGCAGAAGGGGCAAACCACATCAGACCACCCACCAATCACCCACTTTTGACTTTTGTTTGGAGTATGAGAAGTGCACAACGTTGTGTGTAACATGTACGCCTGTGTCCCCAGCAACTGGCGTTACGAACAGGAACTGGCTGGTCTCCTGTGGAAGATCGATTACCACAAGGACTTCACTCTGACCAGCAACCCGTACTTCAACTCTAACCATAACAATAAGGTGATTTGTCTCCTAATGAAGCTGAGCTTAGGCAGATGAGGGTAGTGGACGATTAAATGAGAGATGGGGAGATAGCGAGATAGCGAAAGAGAGAGAGAGAGAGAGAGAGAGA